AGCTACATGTGCCTTAGCACTGCACTTGCAGCCAGGGAATGACTGTAACTGAGAACAGTGGCCCTTTCTACTAAATCACCAATAAAAGCTTCTAAACACAACCAGACATGTTCCAGAAGGAACATAGTCCGAAATCGGGGTAAAATTTACAACATCAGCAACCGTGATTACACATTTCCCTAAAGTTAGCATGTAGCTACATGTATGTTAGCAGTGTTCTTGCGGCCAGGGAATGACTAACTGGGAATAGCATCACTTTAACCATGGAAAAATCACCAATTATAGCTTTTAAACACAATCTGACCTGTTCCTGCAGGAATATGATCGGAAATCAGGGAGAAATCAACAACATCGGCAAACAAGATCACACATTTTCCTGACATTAGCCTGTAGCTACATGTAGCAGTGTAGGCCTACTTGGTGCCTGGGAGGAACAGCAACATTTTCTACCATCAAAAATCACTGATAAAAGCTTCGTAACACAACCAGGCGTGTTCAGACAGAACGTGATCTGAAATCAAATGGAAATTTACACCGGCAACCAAGTTTACAAGTTTTCCTAACATTAGCTTAATTTAGCAGTGTAGGCTAAGTGACACTTGCAGTAGCATTCCTGGAGCAGGTAACCATGGGTACATTCATAAATCCAATCTGACACTTTACACCAAAATAAGAGCACTATTGTTTTCAGTAACAGACCATTCTATTACCAGTTAAATTAATCATATATTCACTCAGCGTTCTGCTCCATCTTCTCAGACGGAGTGCCCAGAGCACACTTTGCTTCTCCAAGAGCGTGGGGTTCTGAATAACCAAACGCTACACTCTGACAGCACTCCGAATTTATGAATGATCCAGCATATGTTTACAATGTTTTCCTCTTAAGTCTAAGTATACAGGTGCTTTTGAAAAATGTGCTTTGGGATCCTCTTGTGAGTTATTTACAATTATTATTTATTATTATTATTTACAATAACTTACAATGACTTAGAATAGTAACATAATCTAATATTTCTCCTACCTAAACATCATAATCTATAACTGTTTGGGCCACCTTAGTTAGGAGCTTATGGTGAGGTCCACCCCTGATTATTCTCTAATTTTGTCATTTAGGGTAAATGATAGAATCAGGTTTACTCTAAGGGTTGGTTTCGTAGTTGGGTCTAGACCTTGACCTAAGTGTCCTTTTTAAGTCTTTAGGAGCCAAAATAATCCCTGATTTGAGATAATATTGGTTAAAAATGTGTGTTAAATAAACAGGTGGGACTGGAATTAGATAGTTGTTATGAGGCCAGGCCAATTAATCCATCCAAACTGTTTGTGCTTTGTTGCATTTGTTAGAATCTGAAGATGGCCTTGTGAGTATTGAGAAAGGCAACCCTCAGGTTTAACATTGTTTAACCAGGTTCAATTATCCAAATTATAGTGATGTGTTGTAAGGCGGTTTCATATGAATTGTTTGCCCTTGTTTAACCCCAAAGATTGCACAGTAGCTTACAACCCTCTACCAATTTCGGCTACATAATGTTTTAACAAATATAATTTCAAATATGAAGTAGCTACTGTTCTAATAACCATTTTCTGTCTTGATCCACCCAGTCGTACTGGGTTATTCTTGGTTTCCATATCACCCTCAATCAACAGATCTCAATTCATGCAGGTAGTGCAGAAATGCAGGAAATTTGTTTTAAATTTTAAAACTTTTTCAGGGGAAGGACCCCCAGAGCCACCGCCAATAATGTGTCTTTCCAACTTTGCTCCCCCATTTTAAAGCAGAATCAGGTGCCCATGTTCACAACAGTAGGAAACCTGACATGTTCGATACGGGGATTACATCTACACACGTTTACCTCAGTATTTGAAACCTTGGCCACGTATAACATCAATCATTGCAACACTACAGCTTGCTGTAAGATACAAAATACTGAAAAGCATAATAGGTCCCCTTTAAATATTAACTAATTACACTTGAGACTTCAAGTATTTGACGGAAAACCTGCATTATTAACTGGGGGCATGGAGTTTTCAAGATTATGGGATTCAGGCAGGAAAGGTTTGAAATATGATTAAGCTGCTTTTAAAGCTTGACTCATAGTAGCAACTAAAAGCATTTGCTGCACCAATTTTGGCCAGTCTTTTTTTTATTACTCTTTCTATCACAAGTCCACCAACTATATGGTTTTGTAACAGTAAATCTAAATTCATGACTGAATGTTGTCTTCCAACATAGGCACATGCACCAGCTTTTGTCGTCCATATCATGTCTTGTACATGACAGAAACACAATGACTGGTTACTGCCATATAAATAGCATGAAAGTGGGGGCTGATATAGTGACAATCCCAAGGGTGATAACTTGGGAGTTGACATTGGATTTAGGTTGAGGTCAGCTGTGAGAAGGTTAGGAATTAGAGAATGCAAGATGCCAATAAGAGGCCTCTCAAGTATAGAGATACAAATACATGTGTTTGTGTATGCATGTGTGATTGGTCACTGGTGTTCAGCAGGCAGGAAGAGACGTGACCACGCTCACCGGGCTACAAAAACATGGCGAGTCAAAGAACATTTCACTGGGCAGCAATGACAAGCGCAGGGCACACACACACTGCCACCGCAGGCCTTGGCATCATCCTTGGTAACATCAGGGTGACCCCACACAATTATGCAGCATTCCATACATGTGCCAAGAGCTTTACAAAAGAAACTATGACTCGGGTAAGATGGCCACCTGAAAAATATTCTCCCTCTGTGACACTTGAAGAGACACTAACGGAGAAGTCAATAAGAAATGGTTGAGTTAACTTGCAAGTGCTAGGAATGAATGCTTCCAATGAGACACAGAGAAGAGGAGGGCTGCCTCAGCCTCACTGGATGCCTCATACATGCTCATTTGAATTGCAAATGGTGGCAGGCAGCATGCTGGGCTGTGAAATCCCAGCAGCACCCTCGGGCATCTGAACTCACGCACTAACACTGACATGTACACACTAGTAGCAAGACTTTGTGCACATATACACTATGATAAAACTAAAAAGGCATACAGAATCTTTGAGTTGGATTTACTTAGAAGTGTATCAACTCTGTGTGATCATAAATTTATGTCATAGCACTGATGAGCAAACAGTGGAGAAACTGATGCTGGGATGAGGTAATGGCTCCCTGGCAGTTGGGGGGGGGGGGGGGGGGGGGGGGGGGGGGGGGGGGGGGGGGGGGGGGGGGGGGGGGGGGGGGGGGGGGGGGGGGGGGGGGGGGGGGGGGGGGGGGGGGGGGGGGGGGGGGGGGGGGGGGGCATCGGGTAATACTCAGAGGGAGACTGGTTGGCGAGGTGACTCGGCAAGGCTGACACAGCAGGCACAGGAGTGTGTCCGATGTTAACGACATGGATGCTGTGTGACGGCAGGTCTGCCAGCTGAGGCTGACAGTGTACGGCCTGGACGAAGAGCATGACAGTATGGTGAGCCCACCTGTATGGTGACAGGGAGCAGGCCACAACACTGCAGAGAAGCTGTGCCACACTTGGTCTGACTCATATAAGTGCAAGCACATGACAAACCAATACAGTAAGAAATATAAGAGTCAATCAATAGAACTTTGCAGGGAATTTTGCAGTGCTAGTTGATTGCAATAGACTCAAAGATCATCAAACTATGAGTGACTCCACATATACAAGACACAGACAAAGACATGTAGTTGGGGAAGCTAGCTAGAGATGCACAACTATGGAGAACAGTCCAAGTAAATCATCCTGAAGGTGAAGCCAACCCATACATAGGCATGGATTTTGGCAAGGGGGAGGATGCACATGACACTTCCCCGTCAATATTTAGAGCATGTGCATCTGTCCCATCCAATAAGAACATGAGAGTAACAGAGGACTTTTATTTTAACAGAATTAAGGACATTTACACCATAAATGGATCCAGAAAAGGCACAAATTGGTGCATAACAATTCCCCAGAATGCGGGAAATTAATTGTTTGATGCTCAAAATTTTCTAGTGGACGACCCTCAAACCCCCGTTTCACATGTGCCTTCCCCCCAATGTTGAAACAAAACTTCTGCCCTTGGCTGAAACATTCCTCTTCAGTACTGTATGTAATTCCACAAAAGCCAAGGGGATCAAAGGTGAGCCCATTTCCATACATGGACCTGCCCAAACATGCAGGCAAACACAGGTAGAGTGGTGCTTCACCTCTGCAGCGAAACATCTTCACAGCAATCAGCTGCAGGTGTATTTTACACCATTTACACACCACCATATTATTACACTATCTACAAAAAGGGCCAAAGCATGAGATACAAATTCTTTAAGTTTGTCTGAAAAGCAAACAGTTGATATGGCCAACCCTGAGGTGTTGGTGAGAGGGTGTGACAATGGCAACACTGAGTCCTGAGTATGTTATGTGCATCTGTCACTGTGGCTGTTGCATAATTAGTGATGGGTGTGTTGGAGAACACACTGACTAAGGCAAAAGCAGATCCAGTTTGCCCTGACAGGCTGAGACACAAACTGAAGGAAGCAAACAACAGCTGATCTCTGCAGCCCAGCACAACTTTAGAAGACGTCAAACATGAAAATGAAGGCCGTGCTGTGCAGGCTATAAAGTGAGTGTCCAGGCAGCAGAGAGGGGGATACTAGAGGAGTCTAACTACCTGGCTGTAGCTCTGGTGTCAACACTGACTGGGCCAGTGGGCACAAAACGACGCAACAACTTGTTTTGCTTCTGCTCTATTCTCACAATATTATTCATCCCCCGGTAGAGGACGGCAGGCAAGCGTCCAAAGTCCATGCGCGTTATAAAATGATGGTCGATAAAATAAATTTCACTGCTGCTAAAGGCACAAAGAGAAAATCACAAAGCGCCGCAATCATTGATGAATTACGCGTAAAAAAAGAAAGATTTCGGAGACATTACCGACATTCAACAAATCATGTACATCCTGGTGTTATAACGACATGAGCAAACTAGCAGGGGGAAAAACATGAATGTTTCAACATACCCTCCTGTCAGACAGACATCCAGGGGAGGACCATGGATGGTGCGCACCGGGGGAGGTCAATCCTGCTCCTGCCGCCGCTTCGTGTTTATTCCCCGGCTACAGGGAAAGGGAGTGTGTCGGTGTTTTGCCGGTGAAAAGCCTAATGAGAGAGGGAGGAGGAGGAGAGAGAAAGAGGGAGGGACACTGTCAGATGCGGTGAGGGAGGAAGACACACACGCACACACACACACACGTACACAGTCCGTGTGTTCAAGGGGAATGTGCGAAGCCAAACATCGCTTGTGTCATTCCTGCAAAAATACCCCTCTCTGTCAACAAGTACTGAAATCTCCATAAACATGCGGAAATATTCCAGCGCGGTGACATAACCTCACATTGTTTCCACAGCAGCTGCATTCACCTACGTGTCAGTGATTTTGACAGGAACATGAATGAGGCAACGATATGAGAAATATACACAGTGAAAAAATATGTTTGGATTGTTCGTGAGCCACAGAAGTACGTTTCATTTTTAGGCACATCCCCTTCTCTTGCTTTTAATGAAATATTTAAAGCCCAGCTCGTACATCAGAGGAGTTGCTGTTATTTCTCGCAGTGTCGTCAGGATGGCACAATTCCTTTGATTTCATCACTTAGTCCACTGCTAACAACACACAGCCTTAACTCCCTCACCTTTGCATACAGAGATGATGGAATTTATTAGTACAAAGGGCAGCGCCCCGAGTCCCCACTGTTGTAAACAAAAATAATGACAAGTCGTCCGTGAAGAGCAGTGATGCGGAGGTAGGCCTATCAGTTCCCCATTGTGCCTGTAAAATCAACATGGTTTTATTTTGAAAGGCAAGCTGAGTTTGATATAATTAATCACTGATGAGGGGTTACTGTTGCGTATTGATGAATCACTGTCACTTCCTTACAAAAGCAGGGTTATAAAGCATACTGTGTTCAGAAGGATGGTATTAAGATTACAGCAATACAGTGAAAAGACCCATTTATTAAACATACAAGGTCACAAGCTCACTAGAGACTGGGGTTGGTTGGCACACTTTTCACTCTGCAGTATTTCTCTTGTAAAATTGCTGTTAGAATATTCTAACCAGCAGCAAATGAAAGGTTAAAAGGATACTTAACCCACAAAATGACCATGTGTGTATCAATTAGTCATGCTATTGAATTCATGAAGAAAACTTGGGGTTTTTTTTGCCTCCACAGAGAATGGTGACCATATTTTTAGTAAAATCATACAATTTAAAACTCTCTTTGAAGTCAGACCCAAATACTAAGGTTAATGTTTGAGGCACCAGGTCTCTCTCCAAAGTCTTCAAAATCTGGTGCTTGGGCTGTGACTTGCAGCGTCAGAAACCAACGAAAAAGGCGTCCTCTAACGTCGGCATGATAATCGGTTGGTTGCCGTTATAGTTTAATGGTGCCACATCAGGGGGAAACATGGCAGGACAAGGACGAAAGTTGAGGCGATGAAAGTCTGACTGGGGCAGGCAGGCAGGATGGTGGAGGGGTCCAACAAACACAGACTTTCACTCAAGAAGGCGGTGTTTGTGTCCTGTAAGATTCTAAAGCCAAACCCTGTTCTTTTTTCCTAAACCCAACCATGTATGTTAGTTGCTGAAGGGAAAAAAACAATTTGCAGTGTTTATTTTGAAAGAGGCTGTATGTAATGTATGTCCCTTGAAAACGGAAGTGTATCCTGAAAGAAGACAATGCATGTAACAGGCAGAACTTGACATGGTGTACCAGAACGTCAACAACCAGCGCACCAGCGCACCCAGGGTACCTTGCTTGTCGTATGTGGACGTGGAAAGTCCATGACCAAACGTCAATATGTGACGACGTCGGAGTGAGAATGTGTTGGTTTGAGAAAATGCACGTGTTTGGGAGGTACTTAGCATACAACTTCATCAATGAGATTATGCCATAGGAGTTGTGCGGGAGTTTGTTAACGGATGTTTTGATATAGTTTGCTGCTGTTGAATATGGTTCCCAATCGATCGATAAATCAATATGCTCACCATTGTCCATAGGCATGCAAGAAAAACAAAGTTTTCTTGACAAATTAAAGGTAACACAGCATGACTCATTGATTTGCAAATGGTTATTTTGTAGGTGAAGTATTTCTTTAGGGTGTCAGCTATATAAAAAAAAAGTAAATAAATATGTTTTAATATAGAAAAATGTCCTTTAATATAAGGTGATTCAGCATTAAAGCCATGTTGTGTATTTGTGCCAATCAGCCCCAAAATAATAATACTTAACTAACCATATAAACATTTCCATGTCATTAAGCAGAAGTAACACATTTCCAATATCTCTGTCTAACACAGTTTACTAATACATCCACAGACCACTTTTTTACTTTTAATACTATAAAACTGAAATGTTACAGTCACCAAAAAAAGTTAGAGACTCTGAGATGTTTTAATGTAGTAGATGAGTGCAAATCAACAAAGCAAATATTCTGATGTAACATATTTGTTTCTGTGACCTTCAAAGGACCAGAAAGTAGCTAAGTGCCAACCAACCCTAGTCTCCTCTACTATCTATTCTATCTGTTTATATTTATTTATCTGTTTTTCTTTGGATCTAGCACCAAAGCTGGATTATCAACCAAATCACCAACACCATCACCAGCACTCAAGGGGCCCCAGAATCTCCAGGTTTAATGTATGTTAACTGTTTTTTGCCGATTGAAAATGCGAATGAAAAAGGAACCAATAAGGTATAATATCAAGTGACATCTCCACAGATTTAGCATTGCATTCCTATAACATTTTCAGATTTACAATGGACCGTTAAAAAGGCTCTGAAGCAGGTGAATCTGGCCATGTTTATACCTCTATAACTTCTGATCTATTATGAAAGGTAAAAAATGATAGGAAAAACATCATACAGTGTCCCAGTAAGGATCTTCCAGTGGTTCAGATTTATATATCACATCATCTGTTCAATTATAGCTGCATACCCAAGTGTTCAGCTGGGTTGAGATCTCTTGACTGTGAAAGCCTATATGATTCACTTCATCTTCATACTCATCAAACCACTCTGTGAACTCCTCTGCTCCGTATGGAAGCGTCTACATTGTTATGGTTCTGCACTCATTTATTCAGGTTTTTCCTTTCATTTCTCACCTGTCTGTGTATTTGTATTTTCTTCAGCAATGGATCTTTATGACTTTTTCTCCGTAAACTGCATAAATGAAATCACGATTGAGTCTAACTGTCTGCAAGACATAAAAGTGTCTTAGCCATTTAAAAAGGAGAAATACAGATTTCAAATCCCAACATGAAAACACACTGCGCTTTCTGCTTTATAGACTAGTTGTATTTGACTTTGAGTTTGATGGCTGTGTTAAAATAGCATTTCTGCCTCAAGGACATCAAAAGCTGTGTGTGTTTAAGTGGTTACATTCCAGTTTCGCTCTGGCTATTTGTTGAATAGAATCTGTATGCACAATGCACCATGCTTTTTAAGCCAACAAAAATGAAAACACTTAAAGTATTTACCCATTGATCTACGCACTGAGGCTCATAATACACACAAGATTGTTAAAGTTGCAGATGGACAAATTAATTATGACTATTTCAATACCAGCCTGTTTCATAATAAAGCAAATCTAATATCTGCAGGTATAAAGAGATGATGTCCCGGCCTTGGAGCAAAGTGAGGCACACAAACATTTGTATGGAAGCCTATAGAGGACTTCAGTAAAATGCTCATGTAAACTGGAAAATAAAAACATATTTTCACAATAGCATTATAACTTTGCACATATGTATGTGTCAGTTGAGCAACAATTAAAATGAAAATGCATATTCACGTGCTTGTATGGGTGTTCAATGACCATATTAAAATGGAAATATAAAAGCTATTCAGCATTTAAATTTCAAATCTGTACCCTGTTGCACAGTGGATACTATTCAAATATACATATATTCAAATTTGAAAATGAAAAAGCAATACACACAACATAACCTGATTTTCCATTTTTGCAAGCTACATTAAAGTCAAAATGAAAATGAAGATGCAATTTTCCTACAATTTGAAAATCATAACTGCATTTGACTTTTCATTTTCAAGGACTTAGCCTGCTGCACAGTGGACAATATTCAGATATTTCAGATATTCTAATTTGAAAATCAAAATACAATATAAACAAAGTAGCCAAAACTTAAATTTGTGCAAGCGTTGTTTAGGTCACAGTTCAAATTGACATGCATTATCTTTTCAAATGACAAACATATGTGTAACTCATAGCACAATTCAAACAGGATTAAAAAGTCATTTGTCTCTCGCCACTGACTACAGTACATATTTTTTACCAAAATAAGGGGGACATAAGGGGAGGGATTTTGCCTCTCTGTACAGTTTATAATATGAGATATTACATTATTTGACTGCACGTTTCATTTTCATGTGTACATCTTGGCAAGTGCTGTGATTGTTACAACACTGAGCACACCTTCAAGCCAACACACTAAAACCATTAGAAACTGAGTTTCTGAGTGCAGTCAGATTATTCGAATTATATATTTTTAATTACACATGCATAACATAATTTAATGGTGAATGTTATTGTCCCCTTAATGGAAGATGGAATTAATTAGTTTTTATGACAGTTCAGTTTATATTTAGGAGCTCTAAACTGTTGTCCAGAGAGTAAGCTATCGGCATGTGGATTCTACCACTGGGTGACATCAAGCTGAAAAATTCTACACTTAGTGTCTTTAAAGTCTGATGTGTACAGGTACTGTAGTCTTTAAAGGGCCCCATAACACTCCCTGAAAATGTTGCATTTGCTGATGTTAACCTCTCACCTTTTCACCTGCATTAACTTCGCACTGCTGGGTGTGGTCACAGGAGTACACAGCACACTGCTGGGTGTGGTCTGACGTGAAACAGGCTTGAAATCAGAGATGGCAGTGAAATACAGCTTCTTCTTTTTTTCCCTTTTGGCTCCAGGCAAGCACCACTTGGCAGGACAGTGGAAGCACTGCGGACAAGAAAATCAGCTGAAACCACAAAAATCCTGGTTACACATCAGCTACCTTTAATCCATCTCCCTCCTGCACAGCTCCGGGGCATCTTGGGCCAGTGCACCCCTAAATTAGAGCTGATAGATAGTCATAGATAATCCATGAGAGATCCTACAAACAGCCTTTTAGATTCCTGCTGTTAGCTGCAGGTTGCTAATCAAAGACAGAATAAATACTCAAAG